AGAGAAATTCTTGACTATTGTCTTGTAGGACAATTTTCTGTCAGGAACTTGGAGCCTTCATCCTAACCTGCCCACTGAAAATGGAGTAAGGTTGCCATATTTGGATAGAAGCTGCCCAGACCTCACTTTCAAGTCTTCATAGAGTTCAAAATCATCTCCGAGTCTTGGAGAAGTATCATTTTCCACATTCCTCTTTCTCACATGCAAGCGAGATGTGGTGAGTCTCTTACTGCTTTATTGTTACTATCATGGGAAGTGCTCGGATGAACTGCATCTCCTGGTTCCACCAGGTGTGACCTTCAGAGCTAGGACACACCATGCCACTTACATTGTAGCAAACCACCCACATTCCCTCCGTATTCCACCGGTAAGAAATAAATTCCATTCGAATCACTGCCCTATGCAATAGACTCCCAAGAGGATGTTTCCCCGATCAAGACAATCTTAATCTGTTCGTCTAGAGTCAACAGTTATCTTCCCTTCCTATCTATATAAACTACCTTTTAACATAACCCTCTTACCTTGAGTGGCCCCCGGGCCTTGTACTGAGTGAACCTTACTGTAGAAAGAAAAAAGTTCAGAATTTCCTATAGATCAATATATACCCGACGAAAGCCAAAACGTTGTGATAACAACAACAAAGATGAGGATAATAGTCCAAATATAAATTGTGTAAATAAATTATCATTTTTGTAAAGTGAATTCGCCACGAAGTACGAGTTTATCTGTGGCCTCAAGAATGATAGCTCATAAAATTGTCACTTTGCGTTCGTCGTATTATCAGAAGGCTTTCACATGCGAGCTTTGAAATATACTAGGTGTCAATAAAGCCACTAAACAGTTACTTACAATAACAATTAAGACAAAGCTACTCAACAGTTCATAAATTTATTATTAAAATGGTTTGGGGTAATTATGGTTAATAATAAAATGCTACGGTAAACAATAGTAAATTAATTACCAATACTGTTCGAACTGCCAGCCACCTGCTTCAATGCTTTGCTTTTTATTATTAGTAACTGTATAGTGATTTTATTGCCACCTTGTATATTTTCCAGTTGTTATTGTTGTACTCTACGCAGCACGACTTCAATTAGTTCGCTCCTAAAAATAGGGAAGACTTTTTTAACAAGTTTTGTAGATTAGTATCCATTAGATATTCCATAAGCCACGGCATTTGTCAGTAAAATTGTGATCTTTTTATCATTTTAGAAATGGGGTCCTGTTCATAACATAAATAAAACGTCAAATCGATCCCTGACTTTTTAAAAGAGTTATCTGTACTTTGTTTTTATTTACAAATATCAAATCTTAAGTCATTGATAACTGCGTATTATTACGAATTGGGAAAAAGGACATCATCAGGAGTAAGCAGTTATCAATGACGAATAACGCACCTAAGGGATTTGTGTGAATGGTTGGCAGAGCAGAGACAAAGAGGAAAACGTCGAATGTTATTTAGAGCAACAAAAGACAGAAAGTTGTGAAAAGCCATGATCGCTCATATCCGGGAGGGAAACCGTACATAAAAGAAGTGGGAGGATTTATGAGGCATTTTTATTTTTCAGCAAAAGCTCTTCACTTTATGGTAAAAAGTTTGTTTTAATTTATATGCAAATAAAACGATAGTTTGCATTCGGGAAAATTGAAAATATCTCATCCAGATGATTTGATTTTGTTTTTTGTCAAGTACGACCATTCAATGGAACTCTTGCATCTTACTTATATAAAACGCAGATTGTTTGTGTGTGTGTGTGTGTGTGTGTGTGTCTGTACGTTTATATATTGGATCGGATTTCCTACATTTTTCAACCGATTTCAACAAAACTTCACAGGACTACGTAAAATTACCTTGCTGTGGTTCTAACAGCGCCAAAAATCGGAAAAACACAATTGTTTTTGCACGAAATCAATTTGAAAACACGATTAAGAGGCATTAATGAAAGGGGGCCAACTCATATCGAGTTATACTTATTATAAAACCCAGGTTGTTCGCGTGTGTGTGTGTGTGTGTCTGTGTTCGTTTATATATGGGATCGGATTTCCTACATTTTTCAACCGATTTCAACAAAACTTCACTTTTTTTTTGGCAGGTAGTGTTTCTTATTGTCTTGCACACTTTTTTCTTTATTTTTACATTCAGAATGCTTTAAAAATTCCATTTATTTACAAGACAATTGTTTATAATAAAATTCTATTCAATCGATAGACTCATAACGATTGAAAACAATGTTTTTGTTTGAGTTTGGGTTTGACCAATTCGTAAAAAAAACAAAACAAAAAAAAAACTAAAAAAAAAAACTAATTAAGACATGCGTGTCCGTCAACCTTAAACAATAATCTGTCAATTTTATTTTTCAGTCTTCATGATGGTCGATACTTGATCTATCTCTTACTGTTACATCCCCGGGTAACACCGGGCACTACTTCTAGTTCAAAATAATTAAAAAAAAAAGAAGATTATTAAGTTTGCTTTGGTTTGGTTTGTTTTACGGCATATCAATCTCAATGAGTTATTTAATGCCGACAAGATTTTTATTGCTGGTAATATTTTTTTTTTCAAAAATGTACAGCTGGTAATATTTCTTTTCTCTTCAAAAATTTATTTCTGGTAATTTTTTTACAAAGTATTTCTGGTATTAAAACCTATTTTTACACTTCCATAATGTTTTGGCCCCAGTTTGGGGGTTAACTATTTATTCATAGCTGGGACCCTAACAAGTGCTACTACCCCGGGTCAGGGACCTGGGAACACCTGCAATTAAGAGGTGGTTCTATGCTTCTGAAAACCTGATCAGAAGCCTTGCTGTTGGAAATAGTTTATCGTCATACGCAGGACGGAGATTATTAAGTACAAATAAGTATTTTGTAACACCAAACATGTAAGAAAAATAATAATTAAGATGTAAAAGCAATGAATTAAACGTCAAAGAATAATTTAACAAGTTTTTTAACGGAAGGTGCGACACTGAGATCCGAAAACGTATTGGGATGGCCATTCCAAAATCTAAGCAGAGTATTAAGAGACAGAAGAATTTCGTTGGAAACAAAGAAAATAATATTGAACTGTTACGTGATATCTGTCCTCTTGTATAGCAGCGAATGCTAGACAATCTCCTCAAAGATGATGACAAGACTTACGGCAACAGAAATGTCGTTCTCCACAAAGATACATAGGAAGCCATGGGCCGAATATATGAGCAACGACGTGCTTTTGGAGAGAATGGGAAAAAAAGAAAGAAAAAGAAACTTATACTTAACACCAAGAGGAGACAGTTGAAATTTCCGAGGCACGTAATGAGGAAGGAAGGCCTGGAAAATACTCATGGAACAGATTGAGGGAAAGAGGGACATAGGAAAGCAGCACGTAACATACATGATGGGCTTGAGTAAATGGATGGTAGAACAGGGTTTGGGAGAAATAACAAAAAGACAAAACGTATTAAGAGCTACAACGGACAGGAATATATGGAAGGCCATCATCGCCTACGACTTGAATAGACACGGCACATAAAAGAAGTATTAAAAATAAAACTATTCCGTTTTCATAAACGCAAGTAGAAAAATGTTCTTAAACTACTGGTTATATAAGGTTGAAGATATTTTTAAACATAAATACAATTTTTTTTATTACATTGTTTGTGTTTCGTATTTTTTAATCTTTTCTTTTTAATTTTTCACGCTTTTCAAATCAGAGAAGGAATTAGAAAATTAATACTATGAAATTATAAGCTATCATGTGGGAATAAACGTTATTTTTATAATGTTTTAAGCAAAAATCCAGTTAATTAACCAATAAATTTACTAATTTAATAAGAAACAGATCTCTGGGACAAACACTGGATTTTTAAAAGATTTAAAATTTTTTTTGTTTACATTTTTCGTCTATAATGGCGGTTCGATGAGTTGATGAGTAATGAGTGAACGTGTTAATGTTTTCAAAATAGCTAAAAACTCTATTTACATCCAGAAATTTATTTTTCTTTTAATACACATTAACTTTAGACTATTACCTTTCAAATAAAACTAAAATTTAACTTCAGTGAAGACGTTTAAATTATTTAAAATGTGTTTTTTAGGGACTTGAAGGCGGTACCAATTAATATCTTTATTTATTTGTGCGAAAATGCGTATCTCAAGAAAGACAGTCTTCCCATCATCTCATCGAAGCACGTATTCATGTTGTCCTTGCTTTATTTTTGCCAAACCATTTGTCCTATATCTTTTTATGGCGCTCAATAGGGGTCAGCTAGAGGCCGTGTGACTGTGTAATCTCTTTTCGCTTGACCGTCAAGTGAGACAGAAAGAAAGTGATAGTCTGCGTGTGCGTGTGCGTGTGCGTGTTTAAGATAGAAAGAGAAGGCTTTAAGAGGTCTACTAAGGCGAATATAAAGCCCTTCCCTTCTTGTCAAGGACGATCCCATTATTCCTGCCTCTTACTCGTAATTAACACTAAATACTTAAAAACTGCCCCAAGTCAACATCAACGAGATATGCCAGCAAATGAAGACGCTTGTAATAAATTTAGAAAATCAAGGTTTAATGCCCCGCAAAACAATTGATCACATTTTTAAACACTACCCCAGGTGACTTTTTACATTTAAAAGAACTGAAGTTCAACAATATTTCTTCTGCCGCTACTTAATTTAAAGACAATTTGATGTACGTAGGTCCTTACTTTCCAAGTTCTAAAAATTGGTATCTTATAAAAAAAAAATCGTCGTAAAAAAATCACGTAAAAAAATCGCCGAAAACAATCACAGTAAAGAAAACTTGGGAATCCAAAATTTCAGGATTGCGAGTCGGCCTGATTCTCAAATAGTATGATATTTTCGGCTACGGCCTCTAAGAGTAAAGTTGAAAAAGCGTGACACAGTGAAACACTGGCCTCCGCATTTATTATATAGCTGAATCGATTAAAATATTTCGAATTTTATTTAAAAAATGCTGCGAACATTCAGAAACACATTAACGATAAAGTAGCTAATGTTTCCAGATGTTTACGGCCATATCACGTTGAAACATCAGTTCCAGTACGATCATCAGAATTAAGCAACGTCAAGCTTGGTCAGTATCTAGATGGGTGACGGCCTGGGAATACCAAGTGCTGTAAGCTTAGATGTACGGATGGTGTAATGAATAACAGCTCGGAATTGCAATCGGGTTCGTTATATATTCCCTTAAGCGCAAATACTCTTAAGAAAGGCATGAATTCACCTCTTATCCCTACAGTTACTAGTTTAATTAGTAGAACTTGCATTAGCAAAAATTATTATTATCTAAAAAAAAAAAAAAAAATACAATCTAAAAATATTTTCTGGCTTTAAATAACCTGCACCATAAAAAACAAATAACTCATCAATCATCAATAAATGTTTCCAAGTAAGAAATCCACCAGTCCACATACCAGTGTGGATCGAACTCACTACAGTAATAACAATGTTGATTTGCTAAACAACACTTCACATTTGGCATTATTAGCCACTTGATGCTTTATCTATATATAAAACAAATACTTATTGGAATCTAATAGTTTATTTGGTGAATGATAGCGACATTTATCTGTACAGTTAGGATGTAAGTCATGTTGTTCTGCAATGATGTCACCAAATAGCAACCATTTTGTTCCTCAATGATTTAAACAAATGGCAGCCATTTTGTTCTGCAGTAATGTAAACAAATTGCAGCCATTTGTATGAAATGTTTTAGAATTTTGAAGTCCGAAATTAATAAGCCCTCTGGGATTTTGAAACTTTAAAATGGATCATAATTGAATTATAAAAAGAAATGTTTAGTATCTTCAGAGCTTGTAAAAAGTAAAATAATTCTGGAGACAGTAAAGATGATCAGCATGTACAAGCGAACAATAATGAAGTTTACAGAAGATCCTATACAACTTCAATGCAAATCTGATTTGTGTCCCGTATCAAGAAATGAGTTATAAAAAATGCCTGTCTTTGCCAAGCTATGAAATTTTTTGGTGTTGTGGGATGGAAGCGAGGAAATATCAAAAAGTACAAAATATCGGAATCCTAAATCAAGTGGCAAATCGTGCGAGATAACCATAACGAAAATCTAATCAAATGTGTACCAATGTATGAAGACGGCTTATTCACTCGTTCTTTTCACCGACCAATGTCGTACTACACTCTATGAACTAGATGGAAGACTGAGTTGCTTTTTGTGGAGAGCGGAGACTATCTTGACAGGTTCAGACTTCAAGGTGGAAATATTGCGATGGTTGTTTGCACGTCGTTGCAGAGGGTTTGATTTATAAAATTTGCATATTCAGACTCAATTTATTTAAGAAATATGCAGTGATACTATCTGTAATTTTATCATTAATTTCTTTGTTATGTACCTAAGAAGCTAGTATAATTTTAACTGTTGTTCTTAATTGCTTTTTAAACTATAGGAGTCCAAATATGGTATTTTGTCCTAATTCATAATAGACAAAAAATGGCTAAGTCGAGCACATGTGTAAAAATAAAAATAAATCTGCCAAAATTAAATGGTTTGAGATATTTTGATGAAATAAAAACTGCTAAGTTTCTTTAATCCTGTAGATTAAGAAGATGCAATCAGATAACACCTAGTACCTGTTTTAAATTTTCATGTGTGATACCTATTAGAAGCCATGAAATGGTGGGTCCATGACGAGTTACAGATAGTGTTAAGATGACAACTCATATATACACACGCGTTCAGACACATACACACACACACACAGACATAAACAGAAAGAAATCAACCTAACACCATTAACTAACGCATAAATTAAATTTTAAACTTAGTATAAAAATAATGAAAATGAAAAAAAAAAAATATCCGGCTGGTACATCCTGACGAGTTGACAGAACGATTACGGAAAAGTTCGTCTATAAATACGAAATTCCAGAGTAGAGGTGTTGAATAAAATATCAAGTCAGCTAAGTAACAAATTTTATTTGCATTAAACACACACACACACACACACACACACACACACACATATATATATATGTAGTGTTAATTTGGAAGATTGTTTTTGAAGCTAAAATTGCTGGTTTTTCAGTGGTTTGCTGGTAAAAGCATTTAAGCCAAACAGGTTTTGTGGTAGAGTGCTCAATTTTGAAGAAGGTGAGATAGAACATTAATAGAAATGGTGAAAAATTTTTCACTTAACTTTTTCGTTAATCCCCCCACACACACACACATACATATATATATATATATATTAAAATAAACAAAATCCGTTGGTGGAACCAACGGATAATATATATATATATATATAATATATATATATATATATATATATATATATATATATATGTTAAATTAAAGGAATACTAACCACTCATGCTACTATAAGTAGCGGTAAAGTTTCTTTAGGCAGTAAGAGGTTAATTAAGAGGTTAATTAAGCCTTGTTTATTTATTTGAACATTCTCAACGGGAATTACGGTTGAAGGGGATGAGCAAAGCAAGAATAGGAATGTAAAGGAGGGGGAAGGAAAATTAATATTAATAATAAGGAGTGAAACAATGGTAGGGAGAATGTAAGGAAGGTAGAGGTAATATATTAATATATTAATAATAATAATAATAATAATAATAATACATATTAATAATAATGAGGGAGGGGCAAATCAATATTGGCGGAAATGTAAGTTAAACAATGTTAGAGGGAATGTAAGGGGAAAGGGGACTATTACTGCTACTAATGCAATACTCTTCTATAAAATGAATCGAGTTCTCTCAGTCACTGGCGTGTTTATCTAAAAATAAATACGCTTAAATTCACCTTCATCCTTGCCGGCTTAGGGGTAGATTCTACGACTGATGCCAATTCATCTTGGTTTCGATCCTAGCTAGAGGCAATCTAGTCACATTGATGAGCTGTGATATAGCGAATCAAACTGTCTGTCGACGACAATATATATATATATATATATATATATATATATATATATATATATATATATGGTTAGCTAAATGGGATAACTAGATATTAGCGACCGTATACGTTAGTGCTGGCGTGCATACGCTGGTAAGGAAATAAATAATTATCAAATTTAGCCAAGAGGTGTAGACATAATAGTGCTCAATGTGATTAGACAGAGGTGAGAAAATATATATTAATAAGTAAACATATGCCTACGTTTGATGTGCGCACATCAAACGTAGGTATATGTGTACTTATTAGTACACACACACATATATATATATATATATATATATATATATATATATATATATATATATATATATATATGCATGTAGTGCAATTCATACACACACACTTATATCTATATATATGTATCTGTATAGTTCAATTCGTACACCTATCGATCAGCACATCACAGGCAACTAAAATACTATTAACACAAGACAAATTTTAACACCAAAATATCACACACGACCCATTGCAAAGAAAGAGGTGAAGATTCTAGAAGCCATTTAACACAAAAGAAACAAGCAAGATTAAATAAGTCTATCTATTAAGTTAGATTTGTTCAAAGAAAAACGTGACGCTTTCAAGATAAGTTTATGAACAACGTCCCATCACAATCGGCCCAGAAAACTAATCTAAATAAAATGGGTTTCAAAGAAACTCGTTTCATGAAGGCACCACTTGTTTGGCTGACCTTATTGCAATTGAAAACCTGTGGAGCATTCTCTCGACGAAAGTTTACATTTGCGGACGGTAAAAATGAACTTTGGAATGCTATTCTGGATGTTGTGCAGTCTATTTCCTATGAAGAAATACAACGGCTCATAAATTAAATGGCTGAACGACTTCTAAAAGCATTTTCAGAACATGGAGCATATATTTTATATTAACGTCATTGTTATATCTTTGTTGTCATTATAATGGCGCTGTTTTTGACGTTATATTCAAAACATTTATCCTTTCGCACATTCTAAAATTATAATGTTGCAATACCCCTAGCGACAAGGTGGACTCGCCCGCAAGTGTATAAATATGCGAATAGAACATAGGACTAGGGATGAGTCAGCAAAACATCTGGGTTTGACAGTACTCAGCTTCGGGCAGGGCGGAATCCAGACAAGGCTATGCCAAAGGGCAGAGTCTCGTCTGCGGAGATATATAGCCACCCAACACTGTATATCCGGAGTCTATGGGGAATTTTTGCCCGAGCGTATGCACTCGGAATTTTCCCACGGCAAAAACCGGCCTTGTTCCACACCCCACCTTGCCGGGAGGACTTGGGTAAATAACGAGTCAGCAAAACCTTTGTGTTTGCTAATAGCCTGTTTGTCGGCCTCTCTACCTTTGGACAGAGAGGAATCCAGACGAGACTATGCATAGTCTCGCCTGGGGTGTTTGACAAACCCGACTCCATTATTATGGGGTCTCAGATGGCCCCACTTTATAAATCGGCCATGTGTCACATCTGGCCTTGTGAGGAGGTCTCAGGTAAATACCGAGACAGCAAAAGCAGAGTTCGTCAGACTTCTGAGTTTGCCAGTGCTCGGTTTGTCGACCTCTCTACTCGAAGGCAGAGAGGAACCCAGACGAGGCTATGCCGAAGGGCAGAGTCTTGTCTGGGGAGGTAGATAGCTACCCGACCTCGTGTATATGGGGGTCTAGGGACAATTTTTGCCCGAGCCTACGGAATCGGCCTCGTGCCACATCCCACCTTGTGCGGAGGTCTTAGGTAAATACCAAGTTAGCAAAAGCCTTCTTTAGCGATCGTCTGAGAAAATACGGCAGTAATCTACGGTAGTAAGTTATTGTTTCTTGAACTCTCAGTTCCCTGACTAAACTTGGAAAATATGGTATATATATAATGGTTAACCACTAGTATACGAGCATGGCTGTCTGCTAGAGCTGCTATCTAATCGTTGTTGCAGACGCCTTCTTCGTCAAATTAGTGTTTGTTCAACATCGACAAAGTCTACCTACTGCTTCTGGGAGAGAGCGCGTCAGCTGGCGTGATTAAGAGTTTGAGCAAGACCAGTACATTCAAACCCTCGGTCACGATGAGTTGTGATATTGTTAGCACAACCATTAACGAACAATTTTCCCCTATCCAATTTCAATTCACAAGGCAACACCCGGGGTATGGTTTTCACTTTCCAAACGTGCTACAAGCTAGGGTTGCCTCCAC